GCTGAGGTCTGACGCCGTCCAGAACAAATGATCTCAGTCTTAAGCCAAAAAGGCGAGGCCGACAGACGTTTGCCAAAGCAAAGTGTGACCATGTAATTAGGTCTCCCCAGAGACCTCACAAACCCAGCTGAACTACATCACAAGCTTTATAAGTCATAATGTGTTTTTCTCAAATGAAACAACCTTCTCAGTCATGTAAGAAATCAGTTTTATTGATCAAATGTTGACAGTGTGAATATATTTGGTTCTCCTCGGGTTAAATCAACGTAATGTTCTCTTATGTGACCATAGAATCTGATGAACTTAAGATCAAGTTCTTAAAACTTACATAAAACTTACTTTCTTATTCTCTTAAAAGCTGGTTAAACTTATTTAGGGAAAATTTTGGACTGAATTTGGCTCCTGTTGGTTCCAACTTCTTTTTTCTTGGAATAAATAAGAAAACATTAAATGCTGCTTTTCGTGCAATAATTTCCGAAAGTTATGTGTGATTATATTCAACCTTCCAGAGTTGAGTAGTTGATGGTGCAACATCTGAGCAACAACCCTTCAATGTTGAGTAGTTGATGGTGCAACATCTTAGTAACAACCCTTCAATGTTGAGTAGTTGATGGTGCAACATCTTAGTAACAACCCTTCAATGTTCAGTAGTTGATGGTGCAACATCTTAGTAACAACCCTTCAATGTTGAGTAGTTGATGGTGCAACATCTTAGTAACAACCCTTCAATGTTCAGTAGTTGATGGTGCAACATCTTAGTAACAACCCTTCAATGTTGAGTAGTTGATGGTGCAACATCTTAGTAACAACCCTTCAATGTTCAGTAGTTGATGGTGCAACATCTTAGTAACAACCCTTCAATGTTCAGTAGTTGATGGTGCAACATCTTAGTAACAACCCTTCAATGTTCAGTAGTTGATGGTGCAACATCTTAGTAACAACCCTTCAATGTTCAGTAGTTGATGGTGCAACATCTTAGTAACAACCCTTCAATGTTTCAGTAGTTGATGGTGCAACATCTTAGTAACAACCCTTCAATGTTCAGTAGTTGATGGTGCAACATCTTAGTAACAACCCTTCAATGTTCAGTAGTTGATGGTGCAACATCTTAGTAACAACCCTTCAATGTTCAGCACTTGATGGTGCAACATCTTAGTAACAACCCTTCAATGTTCAGTAGTTGATGGTGCAACATCTTAGTAACAACCCTTCAATGTTCAGTAGTTGATGGTGCAACATCTTAGTAACAACCCTTCAATGTTCAGTAGTTGATGGTGCAACATCTTAGTAACAACCCTTCAATGTTGAGTAGTTGATGGTCAACATCTTAGTAACAACCCTTCAATGTTCAGTAGTTGATGGTGCAACATCTTAGTAACAACCCTTCAATGTTGAGTAGTTGATGGTGCAACATCTTAGTAACAACCCTTCAATGTTCAGTAGTTGATGGTGCAACATCTTAGTAACAACCCTTCAATGTTCAGTAGTTGATGGTGCAACATCTTAGTAACAACCCTTCAATGTTCAGTAGTTGATGGTGCAACATCTTAGTAACAACCCTTCAATGTTCAGTAGTTGATGGTGCAACATCTTAGTAACAACCCTTCAATGTTCAGTAGTTGATGGTGCAACATCTTAGTAACAACCCTTCAATGTTCAGCACTTGATGGTGCAACATCTTAGTAACAACCCTTCAATGTTCAGTAGTTGATGGTGCAACATCTTAGTAACAACCCTTCAATGCTCAGTAGTTGATGGTGCAACATCTTAGTAACAACCCTTCAATGTTCAGTAGTTGATGGTGCAACATCTGAATAACAACCCTTCAATGTTCAGTAGTTGATGGTGCAACATCTTAGTAACAACCCTTCAATGTTCAGTAGTTGATGGTGCAACATCTTAGTATCAACCCTTCAATGTTGAGTAGTCGATGGTGCAACATCTTAGTAACAACCCTTCAATGTTGAGTAGTTGATGGTGCAACATCTTAGTAACAACCCTTCAATGTTCAGTAGTTGATGGTGCAACATCTTAGTAAACAACCCTTCAATGTTCAGTAGTTGATGGTGCAACATCTTAGTATCAACCCTTCAATGTTGAGTAGTTGATGGTGCAACATCTTAGTAACAACCCTTCAATGTTCAGTAGTTGATGGTGCAACATCTTAGTAACAACCCTTCAATGTTGAGTAGTTGATGGTGCAACATCTTAGTAACAACCCTTCAATGTTCAGTAGTTGATGGTGCAACATCTTAGTAACAACCCTTCAATGTTGAGTAGTTGAGGGTGCAACATCTTAGTAACAACCCTTCAATGTTCAGTAGTTGATGGTGCAACATCTTAGTAACAACCCTTCAATGTTCAGTAGTTGATGGTGCAACATCTTAGTATCAACCCTTCAATGTTGAGTAGTTGATGGTGCAACATCTTAGTATCAACCCTTCAATGTTGAGTAGTCGATGGTGCAACATCTTAGTAACAACCCTTCAATGTTGAGTAGTTGATGGTGCAACATCTTAGTAACAACCCTTCAATGTTCAGTAGTTGATGGTGCAACATCTTAGTAACAACCCTTCAATGTTCAGTAGTTGATGGTGCAACATCTTAGTAACAAACCCTTCATTGTTGAGTAGTTGATGGTGCAACATCTTAGTAACAACCCTTCAATGTTCAGTAGTTGATGGTGCAACATCTTAGTAACAACCCTTCAATGTTCAGTAGTTGATGGTGCAACATCTTAGTAACAACCCTTCAATGTTCAGTAGTTGATGGTGCAACATCTTAGTAACAACCCTTCAATGTTCAGTAGTTGATGGTGCAACATCTTAGTAACAACCCTTCAATGTTCAGTAGTTGATGGTGCAACATCTTAGTAACAACCCTTCAATGTTCAGTAGTTGATGGTGCAACATCTTAGTAACAACCCTTCAATGTTCAGTAGTTGATGGTGCAACATCTTAGTAACAACCCTTCAATGTTCAGTAGTTGATGGAGCAACATCTTAGTAACAACCCTTCAATGTTCAGTAGTTGATGGTGCAACATCTTAGTAACATCCCTTCAATGTTCAGTAGTTGATGGAGCAACATCTTAGTAACAACCCTTCAATGTTCAGTAGTTGATGGTGCAACATCTTAGTAACAACCCTTCAATGTTCAGTAGTTGATGGTGCAACATCTTAGTAACAACCCTTCAATGTTCAGTAGTTGATGGTGCAACATCTTAGTAACAACCCTTCAATGTTCAGTAGTTGATGGTGCAACATCTTAGTAACAACCCTTCAATGTTCAGTAGTTGATGGTGCAACATCTTAGTAACAACCCTTCAATGTTGAGTAGTCGATGGTGCAACATCTTAGTAACAACCCTTCAATGTTCAGTAGTTGATGGTGCAACATCTTAGTAACAACAATTCAATGTTCAGTAGTTGATGGTGCAACATCTTAGTAACAACCCTTCAATGTTCAGTAGTTGATGGTGCAACATCTTAGTAACAACCCTTCAATGTTCAGTAGTTGATGGTGCAACATCTTAGTAACAACAATTCAATGTTCAGTAGTTGATGGTGAAACATCTTAGTAACAACCCTTCAATGTTCAGTAGTTGATGGTGCAACATCTTAGTAACAACAATTCAATGTTCAGTAGTTGATGGTGCAACATCTTAGTAACAACCCTTCAATGTTCAGTAGTTGATGGTGCAACATCTTAGTAACAACCCTTCAATGTTCAGTAGTTGATGGTGCAACATCTTAGTAACAACCCTTCAATGTTCAGTAGTTGATGGTGCAACATCTTAGTAACAACCCTTCAATGTTCAGTAGTTGATGGTGCAACATCTTAGTAACAACCCTTCAATGTTCAGTAGTTGATGGTGAAAACATCTTAGTAACAACCCTTCAATGTTCAGTAGTTGATGGTGCAACATCTTAGTAACAACCCTTCAATGTTCAGTAGTTGATGGTGCAACATCTTAGTAACAACCCTTCAATGTTCAGCACTTGATGATGCTTGTGTATTTTCGAAAGATTTGAATTAGATTAGATCTCTATGTGAGTCCTAATTTACCTTTATACTTAAGATATATGGATTTAAGTTTCCTTTTGATGTCTAGTGAATGTCTCTTATGTTTTCCTTCAAAGGTTCAACTGTAATATTTAACTACATTATCAACTTACGCCGCTCTGTGCACTATTACAATCATGTGTATTGTAGTCCAGGGAACTGTGGACTGGGATCCTCTTTTCACATCAAATACCAACCAAAATACCTAGTGTTAATTTAGGTTTTCCATATAGGTCATACAGTTTTCTAGTGGTCATGATGGCATACACATTTAACCTTGGATAACTCATTTAAGCCTGGTTGGATGAGTTTGAAGGTCTGAACCTTAAATTCACCCAACTAGGCCTAACTGGGCAACCTGAGAACTCTCCTCAAATTTCTAATCCTAAAAAAATGAACAATGTCAAATGTCATTTTTTTTAACTATGTAAGAATATTTTTTTTAATTCTATTCAAATATAACTATTTTTCTTGAACCTGACTAACACAAAATGTTGGTGTAAACTGTTATGAGGGTAATTATAATGACAATATTAAAAATTGTATATATAATAAAGTTATTATTATTATTATTATTATTATTATTATTATTATTATTATTATAATTATTATTATTATTATTATTATTATAATTATTATTATTATAATTATTATAATTATTATTATTATTATTATTATTATTATTATTATTATTTATTATTATAATTATTATAATTATTATTATTATTATTATTATTATTATAATAATTATTATTATTATTATTATTATTATTATTATTATTATTATTATTATTTTAAGAAAATACATGCTACTACTACTGACACTAAAACTATTACTACTACTATTACTACTACTTCTGCTGCTGCTACCACTACTACTACTGCTACTAATAATAATAATATTACGATGAATAAATTCAAAATAATTTTTGGTGCAGGTAAGAGCGCTCTTCACGTAGCAGCAGCGGCTGGTCATATAGATTGTGTGAAGATTCTCCTTGCTGCTGCTGATCCCAAGTGTCAGACTGATGATGGATGGACACCTCTACACTATGCTGCAAGATTCAACCGTACTGGAATTCTTCAACTTTTATTAAATGATTTACGCTGTGATCCAAATGCTAAAAAAAAAAATCACAACTCTGCACTACCCTCTGTTGCTGGATTAGAAGGTAATGCCCTAAAAATTATGTTTTCCTTAGTTAAATGTGTGTCTGTGGCAATGTGTTTGTAGTGTGAGTGTGAGTGGTTACAATGGTCGAGTCTCAGCTGCTGCCTCCAATTTTCTTGTGGCTGCTTCCCAGAATCACTCTACCCACAACTTCATCTAGGTCACTCTTCTTCCTGGCCAACCTGAGTCTAAATTATTTCTTGACTTCCTTATAGCTCTTCTGTAACTTCAGCTTCTCTTACATCTCAAATACTAGAACTCCGTCTATCATCTAAATTCATCAAAGTATTTTGTATAGTGACACCATGTCTCCACTTGTTCTTTCATCTAATGTTATTATAACTAGAACCCCTTATTAACTGTGCACTATTCTAGCTGATCTATAAAATGTTAGTTAAACTCTAGTGTTGCATAATCCAAAATAGGAATGACATACATTTTATAAAGGGATTCGAATGATGGTTGAGATTCCAGAAGCTACTATTAGATTTGTGAAATAAATATCAACTACAGAGGATTTTTGTTTGTTGATGACTCTGGTGATATGTTTGAAACTATGCTCACTCTAGTACAGCACAATGTACGCATCGCGATGCGTACATTGTGCTGTCTCACGAGGCGGTTTAAGGTTCGTAGGGTCGAGTCCTGGCCTGCCGCAGTTTGGTGAATGATTTAAAATCACTTGTTTCGTAATTTCATTGCTATATGGACTGCTTGTTGAGGTGGGTATTCATACAGGAGGAGGTTGAAATTAATCCTCGAGATACCACTGCCACGAGTGTCCTCGGATCATGAGAAAAACATGTAGCTTAGCTGCAAGTGTGATTCTTTGTAGGATCGCTGGCTCAAGTGGTAAGGTGATGCGTACATTGTGCTGTCTCACGAGACGGTATAAGGTTCGTAGGGTCGAGTCCTGGCCTGTCGCAGATTGGTAAAATATATGTATATATATTATTGTGACCACGAACGAGTGGTATTGGTCAATAACAACACTACACTAGCCAAGGATTCAAACCCATGCTGATTTGGCCTGCCTCATGGTGAGTGAAAACACATGACGCCCTAATTCACTGAACCATAGGATCCTTAAGAGTAGCGCATCCAGAGGAACTGGATGCTGTACTCGATACCCAATGACACACGATGGTGTGGATGACTCTAGGCTAATTTCATTCTAGTCCCTGTTTAGTGTACTAGTACAACGAGCAGTATTTTATATTGTTGTGACCACGAACGAGTGGTATTGATCAATAACAACACTGCACTAGCCAAGGACTCGAACCAATGCTGCTTTGGCCTGCCTCATTTGTGGTCACAATAATATAAAATACTGCTCGTTGTACTAGTACACCAAAGAGGGACTAGAATGAAATTATCCTAGAGTCATCCACACCATCGTGTGTCCTTGGGTAGCGAGTACAACATCCCATTGGTTTTTGATGAGCAGTGCCACTCCTTCACCCTGTACCTTAAGTTTTCTCTCCAACAATGTATTCTAGGGGGTTTGTTGGAGCTGGGGGACCTAGTAGGGTACTATAGGATTCTGTTACATATTGTGGAGTGTGGGGCTGCGGGTGTGTGGTGCGGTTTGTGTTGGGAGAATGTGCTTGTGGGAGTTCTGTGGGGGGTTCTGTGGGTGTTTGCACACTCTTCTCTACTATACTCTAATTATTCTCTACTGGCTGTCGCTTTATCTCTTTCTAGCCCATTTCGTATTTGTCTTCTCTCTCAGATGTTGCCGTTCTATCCTCGTTCTGTCGAGGTGTAAGAACAGTCTCTGGTATGTTGTTGATTCCTTTAGCCTTGGTATCTCCTTCAGGGTCCTATCCAGCACTGTTTCTGTCTTGAAAATAAGTCTGGCTGGCCTATTTCTCTTCATCGAGTACCCTCCTGTTCTCTGAAAATTTATTAGTTCGGACATGTCATCCACTTCTGTTTGTTTGATGATATTTTCAATCTTTCATTTTTCTTTCTGCTGTCTTTCATCATACATTGTCTCTGTGCTCTCCTGAAACCCGTGGATAAAGACTGACCCCTCCATCTCCTCCTCCCATTGCTATTCCCTCTGCATCTGTGGGTCCTGTACTCACCTATTTTTGGTTGCAGGGGTCGAGTCACAGCTCCTGGCCCTGCCTCTTCACTGATTACTACTAGGTCCTCTCTCTCCCTGCTCCATGAGCTTCATCAAATCCCGTCTTAAAACCATGTATGATTCCTGCCTCCAATACGTCACTTTCTAGGCTATTCCACTTCCTGACAACTCTATGACTGATGAAATACTTCCTAACATCCCTTTGACTCTTAGGAGTTTTAAACTTCCAATTGCGACCTCTTGTTTCTGTGTCCCATCTCTGGAACATACTGTCTTTGTCCACCTTGTCAATTCCCCACAGAATTTTATATGTCATTATTATGTCTCCCTGACCCTCCTGTCCTCTAGTGTCGTCTGGCTGATTTCCCTAAACCTTTCTTCGTCGGACAATCCCCTTAGCTCTGGGACTTGTTGCTGTAGAGAGTCTTGAGCGATTCCTTACTGAGGTATCGGAGCGCTATCCTTAGGTTTGCCAGACGCCTGTATGCTGCAGCAGTTATCTGATAGATGTGCACCTCAGGAGATGTGCTCGGTATTATACTCGCCCGAAGAACATTTACCTTGAGTGAGGTTTGCATTCTTTGGCCACCTAGACTATACTGTGTCTGCAGTCTTCTTTGCCCTTCACCGATCTTCATGACTTTGTATTTGTCAGGGTTAAATTAAAAAATTAGTTTGTCTAGGTTTCTTCGTAGTCCTACCTGATCTTCGACTGATTTAATTCTCCTCATTAACTTCACATCATCTGCAAAGAGGGACACTTCTGAGTCTATCCCTTCCGTAATGTCATTCACATATATCAAAAGCAGCACAGGTCCTAGGACTGACCCCTGTGGAGCCCCGCTCGCCACAGGCGCCCAGTCTAACACCTCGTCATGTACCATGACTCATTGTTGCCTCCCTGTCAGATATTCTCTGGTCCATTGCAGTGCGTTTCCTGTTATGCATGCGTGATCCTCTAGCCTTTGCGTTAACCTCTTGTGAGGAACTGTGTCGAAGGCCTTCTTAAAGTCCAAGAAAATGCAGTCTATCCAGCCCTCTCTCTTGCGTCTTACTTCTGTTACCTTTTCATAAAACTCAAGTAGGTTTATGACAAGATTTTCCGTCTCTGAAATCATGCTGGTTGTCGTTTACAAGCTTATGTCTTTCTAGGTGCTCCACCACTCTCCTCTTGATAATCTTCTCCATGACTTTGCATGTTATAGAGGTCAGTGACACTAGTCTGTAGTTTAATGCCTCGTGTCTGTCTCTTATCTTAAAAATTGGGACTACATTTGCCATCTTCCATACCTCAAGTAGTTGCCCCCTTTCAATGGACATGTTGAAAATTTTTGATAGTGGGACACACAGTATCTCTGCTCTCTCTCCAAGGACCCACAGTGAGATGTTTTCTGGTCCCACCGCCTTTGAGGTATCGAGTTCACATAGCAGCTCTTCACCTTCTCCTCGGTATTTCACCCAGCACTTGTTGGCGTACCTCCCTATTCTGAATTCCTGAAGTCCTTCCTGTCTCCATTGTAAACACTTCTTTAAATCTCACACTGAGCTCCTCACATACCTTTTGGTCATTTCTTGTTAACTCCCCACCTCTCTTCCTCAGCCTGATTACCTGGTTTTTGACTGTTGTTTCCTCCTGATGTGGTTATACAACAGCTTCGGGTCAGACTTGACTGTCGATGCTATGTCATTTTCGTATTGTCGCTGAGTTTCCCTTCTTATCTGTGCATATTCGTTTCTGGTTCTTTGGCTGATCTCTTTATTTTCCTGGGTCCTTTGCCTTCTATACTTTTTCCATTCTCTAGTGTACTTAGTTTTTGTTTCCCTACACCTTGTGTGAACGAAGGACTCGTTCTGGTCTTCCAATTATTTAAGAACATAACATAACAAAGAAGGAACACTGCAGCAGGACTACTGACCCATGTGAAGCAGGTTCATGTCCCCCACGAATAGCCTAATGACCCACCCAGTCTGGTCACCTCAACTCAAGGAAGAAGCACGACACCAGACAGCAGCACAAGCTAGTCAGGTCCAACTCACAAACACCCCCACACACTCATGTATATATCTAACCTATTTTTAAAACTACACAACGTTTTAGCCTCAATAACTGTACTCGGAAGTTTGTTCCACTCATCCACAATTCTATTACCAAACCAGTGCTTTCCTATATTCTTTCTGATTCTGAATTTTTCCAACTTGAAACCATTGCTGCGAGTCCTGTCTTGGCTGGAAATTTTCAGCATGCTATTTACATCCCATTTATTTATTCCTGTTTTCCATTTATACACCTCGCCTTACAAGATAGTGCAGATTAAGGGCCCTCAGTCTATCCTCATAGGGAAGATTTTTGATACATGGGATCATCTTTGTCATCCTCCTCTGTACGTTTTCCAGAGCATTTATATCCATTCTGTAATACGGTGACCAGAACTGAGCAGCATAGTGTAAATGAGGCCTAACCAAGGATATATAGAGTTGAAGAACAACCTGAGGACTTCTATTATTTATACTTCTGTATATGAAGCCAAGAATTCTATTAGCTTTATTTCGAACACTAATGCACAGTTGTCTTAGTTTTAGATTACTGCTAACCAGAACCTAAATCCTTTTCGCAATCAGTAGCATTAAGATCTACATTATTTAATTTATATGTCACATGGCTATTTTCCTGTACAACATTTAGAACTTTGCATTTGTCTATATTAAACTGCATCTGCCTCATTAGAATGAATTGGACTGCTTATTTTGGTGTCATCAGCAAATTTGCTTATTTCGCTATTTATTCCCTCATCTATGTCGTTTATGTAAATTGCGAACAACAAAGGGCCCAAGACTGACCCCTGTGAAACACCGCTTGTGACGTGCCCCCATTCTAATTTCTCCCCATTTATGCAAACTCTCTGCTGCCT